CTCTTCTATTTGATTAATCGATAAATTCAATAAGTTACCGACTAACCATGGCTACGTTTGTATATCGTAATTACCACACACACCACTTACTTTTATGGGTCTACCTTCAAATTTAACCAGTAAATCAATAAAATCACACCTTTTTTGATTATCATTTTTATGATGAGCACGTAGAAACCCCCTACAACGTTGCAATCCAAAGGTTTGAATACAACTACGGATTTTGTTGATTCTTGGGTTCTGGGAGGTTCCAAAGCCTTTAATTTTTTGGGCTAGTAGTCAAAGGTAGCATTTATTACAGTGTCATCTCGAAGGACTTCATGTATCTAAAGGTTTGAACGGCTCGGTGTTTCCAATCTACTCAAAGAGTGAATACAGCTCACAATTTAATTCTTTCCTTTGAACATGTCAATTGTCGGCACGCGAGTTTTTAAAGAACAAATTCTACTCGCTAGTGAAATTGCAGGGCCGGGAATGAGGATAAGCTTTTTCTAATTTTCCAAAAAATGCCTTGTTTCCGTCAGTTTGTGAATGATCAAGCTTTTCAGAAATGGAAGTCAATATTTTCACCTCTAGGAAATGAAGTAGAGATGGAAGAATTTGAAGATTAGCATTTAATGCGAGATCATGTCGACATCAGTCGCCGAAATCACCTTTATTACAAACTTTGATTGAGAATAAAGATAGAGAGCATCATGTTCAAGACCTGTGACGAGTATCACTCCTCTGCTGATGCATTTGCAATCACCCTCCAAAGAAGGAGAGTAGTGTAGGTGTGTTGCCATCTTTGGACGGATTGTTAGCCGCCTTCAGAAAATAGGAGCATCATCAAACTCAGCAAAACATCCACTGACACTTGTGTTCGAATTTTAGATCTTTTGATTTCCTGCTTGAAATCATCGGAAGCTAATGCTTCACCGCCAACGTCGTAGGTGAACTTGGCTCAGCTGGAGTAACAATCCAGAACGCACTTTGCGGTGTTGAGCTTGAGACATTTTGGATTTTTTGAGCAAATAAGAAAGGGGATCAAATGCTTAGGTGCATT